GATGAACGACGTGCGACTTGCCGGGACAGTGCCTTTCGGAGGTTGTTCAGGCTTCCTGCGACGTACGTGGCTTTCGTTCAACTCCCATCTGAACCAAGACGCAAGAAGGGTTCAGGCATTGACGCTTTGCTTCACGACCCGGATACAAAGTGTAGTTGCAGCTTGCCAGCAGCCTTTCCTTTCGGTACGTGAACGGGGTTAGGAAGAGAAAGCAGTGTTGTATGATATCATTAACGCCGTTCCCACTGTGCAGAGACCAAGCTAGTCGGATGCTATCCTCGCTACTTCGCGACCACTTCGCTCCACATCCGCCGCTGCGGTTCGATGGGTACTACACGCGCACGCAGACAGAGGACGGAGCGACGATCGCAGTCATCTTCTGCTGGATGAAGGGCGCGAAGAAGCGCGGCAATCTCATACTCGTCTTGTACGACACGCCTCACGATCGGCGCGGCGGGTTGGCGTCGTTCAAGTACGAGTTCTACCCCGAGCACTTCGACGTCACGACTGGAGAGTTCGTGCGTGGCCGCCCTCAGTCGTTTACGATCACAGCACCGGGTCTAGGGAGTATGAAGGTCACTCCCGAGACGATCGAGTATGACGTCTCAGTCCCAGACAAGTCGCTTCGCTTGCACCTCCTTCTCACCAACCACAAGCCATGGTCGAACGCACATCCCCTCGAAGGCCCCATGGGCTCCGTCCTGCACATCTCGCACTTCCTCCCACTCAATTGGCACGTTCGTTCCACCCAGAGCATCGCTACCTTCCAGGTTGCCCACGGCGACGCTACCATTCGAGGGACCGGCCACGCACACCCCGAGAAGAACTGGGGTTCCTCCTTCCCTCGCGGATGGATCTGGGCACAATCGTTCTCCGCAGACGGCAAGCACACCCTCTGCCTCGCAGGTGGGGAGGCACTCCCTGGCATACAAGCATATCTCGTCGGGTACCGCTCGCCTGTGTGTCCGGACTGGGACTTTCGCCCGCCCTGGGCATTCGGGCTGGGTTCATTCGCGCCGTTTATGCAAGTCAGACGCGACCCCGTCAAGGGCGAGGTGGAGATAACCTTGTCGACGTGGTCTCGGAAGCTGCACGTACTGATCACGGCGCCCCCGGATACCTTTGTCGGAGTCCCAGGGCCGCTGAAGGACGGCCATCAGCCCAACTATTGCCACGAGAGCTTCCAAGCGAAAGTGACCGTTCAGGCATCCTGCAGACGGTGGCCAGGGGCTAAGTGGGAGCTGGTCGAGGACGCGGTCCTGGGACAAACCGCGGACGGAACGAATTGCGGGGCACTCGAGTTCGGTGGGAGCTATGGGCATGGGAAGCATGCATAGGTAAATAGTCCTTGATATAACGGTTGTAGGAACGAAGGAAGCCGTCGATAACAAGCTGCGGATGTAGCCCGTTCGGCAACCTATTGAGAAAAGAAGAACAGAAGCAAAGAAGGGTTAGCTGGGGTGGTAACCGACGGGGAACGCAGCACTGACCTCTATAACGAATGTACGGTGAAGTGGGCCACGTGATATGGGGCGGTCTACTTGGAACCAGGTTAGGCTAGGACTTGGGAACGCGAGCTGCCTGGTGACATGGTCATCTGGCCTCCGCGCTCTCGCCTGCACCCACCACCTCCAATTCAGATCTCAGAATCCGGGAACTGCCCGCCCTCTTCGCCAGCATCCGGGGGACCAGGGACACCCCCTATATAAGCCGTCCCAGGGGCTCCCACCCTCTCCTTCTCCCAACCATTCCCCACATCGCATCGAGCACTCGATAGACGGCGAGCTACCCATTACAGTCGCCTCCTCTTGCATCGTAGACGTTCTTCACTTGAGCCCGTCCTAAACTCCATTCATACCTGAGAGTATCATGGCCGAGGCTGCTGCACCCGCCCCCATTGAGATCAACGACGCCTACTTCTGCCAACACTTCAAGGAGGTGGTAAGTGACATGCTGGGCCTCAGTAATCGTCCGGACGTGGATTGAGCATCAAGCGGCACAGTGCTCCGACTGCTCGTACGACGGCCGGGAGGAGAACGACACCTTCTTCGGAGTGCGTCACCCCTGTCCCTGAATGTGCGTTTCCTGGACTGACCTTGCACGCAGTTTGACCCCATCGACCGTGAGGGTCTTGAGGCCCCGGCATCGAGCCAGAACAAGGACGGCGTGTACCAGTGCAAGAAGCACGGATCGCCCGGTACGTCTCCCTGTAGTCGCGTGACTCTAGCACGTCAGCTTGACTGACCTTCGATGGCGCCATATAGCTTGCAACCAGTGTTACGGCTGGAAGAAGCAGATATCCCGCGCCCGCGTTGCCGCGAAGAAGGCAGGCAAGAAGTCGTCATAAGCCTGAAGCCTTTGTAGCAGTACCCAGGAAGCCAAGCGGTGTCGTGGAGGAACATGTACGATAAATCTTGTATGATGGTGGAAGCTGTATCAATGTCCGAGTATACCGAGGAACAGGAAATCATAGTTTGACAGTAACTTCGTGATTATCGAGATACACGGAGTAGACTCCTCGATAACAGACGTCCTTAGCACGAAGAGGAGAACGGGGTGTCTCTCGAGATGGTTTTGAGGACGAGTACGTGGCGCGACGTCCCGAAATAGCGGAGACTGTAGTATCACCAGCAGTTCAGTAGGCTGTGGGAACCCGTAACCGAGTCCTTCATGAGAAGCGCAGTCTCAGTCGCGAAGTCATAAGTGAGCAATGACCAAGTCATAGCCAGTCGCCAAGTAGCAAGTATCGCATGGACCTGCCTTTCGACATTCACCAGATGACCACGCTCCGTTACCGAGGCGCTGTCTAGCTGTCCACGAGTACACGTCAAGCCGTAAGCGCGAGCCAATGCCGCCCCAGAGAATGTAATCCACTGCACGGAGCATCTGCCAGGATCCGGGCGCGCTCGCAGCTGAGGATGTTCAATACGAATAGGCCGGAGCTGGCTGGTGGCTGACGGGGGCGAGTCGGGGGAGAGTGAGAGCCGCGCGCGCGAAGATTTGTCAGCGGCTCGCGGTTTTCTCGTCAGTTTGTCGCCGATCTCGTCATGCTGCCGCAACCGTTTCCTGCGCTCAGCCTTGCCCGCCTCCGCTCCGTATAAAAAAGACCCTCAGAGGTCTACCACCACCATCTCTAACCCTTCCTCGATACCATAATCTACCACAGGACGCCGATACGCTCGCGATGACGCCCGCAGTACTCAACGCAGAGGCTTCGACCTCGAACGGCCATGCTAACGGCGCGAACGGCGTCCACGCTGCAAAGAAGGGCTCCCTAGACGGCTTCGGCACGCGCGCGATCCACGCGGGCTCGGAGGCCAACGAGGAGACTGGCGCGGTGATCCCGCCGATCTCACTTAGCACGACATACAAGCAAGATGCCATCGGAAAGCACAAGGTGCGCGCCGATGGTCAATCAGCCGTTTAGAGGAGCAGATTTTGATGCGTCATCTTTAGGGCTTCGAGTACTCTAGATCTGGCAACCCTAATCGCAATGCCTTTGAGACGACTTTGGCGGCGCTGGAGTCGGGCGGCGCGTATGCGCTCGCTTTCTCGTCCGGATCCGCAACGACCGCGACCGTTCTGCAGTCGCTCGGTCCTGACGCGCACATCATCAGCGTGAACGATGTCTACGGCGGCACGTTCCGGTACATGACTCGCGTTGCGGCGGAGAATCAGGGCCTTCAGACCACGTTTGTCGACCTGGAAAACGCGGACGATGACACCATCCGTGCCGCTTTCAGACCAAACACCAAGGTTTGTCGGCTTTTTCGCGTATCTTTGGGAACAAAAACCTGACTTGCTTTTCTCCTGCAGCTCATCTGGATAGAGTCTCCCACCAACCCTACACTTCGCCTGATTGATATCCCTCGCATCGTCTCTCTCGCGCGCTCCATGCCCTCTGACCCCCTCGTCCTCGTCGACAACACCTTTCTCTCACCTTTCTACTCCTCGCCCCTCCTCCAGGGCGCCGACATCGTGATGCACTCCCTCACGAAATACGTCAACGGCCACTCGGACGTCGTCATGGGCGCGCTCGTCCTCCCCGCGCACCGCGCCGCGGTCGCCGAGAAGCTGCGCTTCCTCCAGAACGCGATCGGCGCCGTCCCGAGCGCGTACGACTGCTGGCTCGCGCAGCGCGGCGCGAAGACGCTGCACCTCCGCATGAAGGCGCACGGCGCGAACGCGCTCGCCGTCGCCCGCTTCCTCCAGCAGTCGCCCCACGTCGAGGAGGTGATCTACCCCGGCCTCGCGACGCACCCGCGCAACGACCTCGCGTACCGCTCGCTCTCCCCGCACGCGCGCGTCTTTGTCGACCGCTACGTGAAGGAGCATGGCGACGAGGCGGGCGGGTTCCCCTACGGCGGCATGATCTCGTTCCGCATCCGCGGCGGCGCAGATGAGGCGGAGCGCTTCTTGACTTCTGCGCGGCTGTTCACGCTCGCCGAGTCTCTTGGCGGTGTGGAGAGTCTGGCGGAACACCCTGCGCGGATGACGCACGGCAGCATTCCTCCGGCGGAGCGTGCGTTGTTGGGCATCGGCGACAACCTCGTTCGCCTGTCTGTTGGTGTCGAGGAGGTAGAGGATCTCATCGCGGATGTCGAGCAGGCTCTCGAGGCCGCGGCTGCTGTGTCCAAAGCATGAACGAACTACGGGCGTTTTGGGAGAAGTTTGAACATCACATCTGTACTCGATCTCTGCTATAGAAGCATGCGACATTGTTCTTGTATGATTGGTAGATGTATATGTCTGCAACATAATCAAAATAGAGTACGGGACTTCTTGGGACACTACCAATATCCTCCGCGATGTCCTTGCAAGAATTCAGCGTAGTCTGATCCTAAAATGCATCTTCGTGCACTTGTGCAAATTACAAAGACGAAGTGAGCCAGTGATAGAAAGGTAACCATCCGCGCCGAAGGAACTATGGTGTTTGCAAAGGCCACCAAAGACAAATCGGAAGTCATCGGTGAACGTACAATATGGGCAAAAAAGATGAGTGTCCCAGGGAGGATTCGAGCCTCCGTCTTCACGGGCTTGTGTTTCCACAACGTGACGATCTGACCACTAATCGACAGGGACCGGTAGACGAGGACACAGGACAGTAATAGAAGGTGATTAGCACAGATATCTGTGTGTATTCCGTTAAGCCAGCCGCCAGCTCGTCGGTGTTGATATCTGCTGTGCGTGCAGGAAGTACTGTTCGTTTAGCACACTGATTGGATTATAAGACGCCCCATATGGCTGGAACCATTACATTGCCGAGGTTGGAGAGGAGTGTGTGCATCCTTGAGAGACAGAGAGGAAGAGGAAGGGCTTCAAAAAGAATGTCCCAGGGAGGATTCGAGCCTCCGTCTTCACGGTACTGCGGAGAACCACAACGTGATGATCTAACCACTAATCGACAAGGACCGGTAGTAATAGCCCGTGGCACTTTATAGGTGGTTTGAGACATATTTTTCTCAAGGCTTAGGCTGCCTTTTCCCTAGGGTATGAGATTGAGACAACGTTCGTCCAATTAGTAGCAAGGAGATGATGAATCTATTTCAGAATGACGAGGCTACCTGTTTTTTGCATTCTCAGTACAGACGCCCGTGTACACCATCCCATGCGCGTAAGGCGTGCAGAGAGCTATGGGCGCCTGCCTTGCGGGGATGAGTGGATGGGTAACGTAAAGACAAATCGCGCTGACGTGTGGGTCAGAGCACTTATTCAGACCCGTTTGCAACACCGTCTCGCCTATACTCCTGACGGTGCGCCCATTTGCGCAATCTGACAGTACGATCGTCATTTACGTGAATGATGCGACTAACGCTGTACAGTGCTTTGTAAGTTCAGGTCGGGTTCTCGTATCGATAGTGCGACAGGAAGAAGGCCATTCGTCAGACGGTCGCACAAGAAACGGCGCGAAACTGTTTGTGCCGTACACGACAGGGATATTGCACAGACGCCGCTGCGAGTCCGGTCTCGATTGATCTACAGACTTTCGCGGGTACATCGGATACTCTGATAGGCAAAGTGCGAGTCTAATTCTATCCCAAGGTCACAACGGACGCCCCGGGGGGAGTGTGAGAGCAGTAAACCACGAGTATGCTGTCAAGATTCTGGATCGAATTCCTGCGCGAGACTCAAAGTGACCGGTGGCTGGTGCACCGTATGCCCGTCTTCCGCATGGCCGATCGAGAGTTCGGGCGTGGGCCGTTGCGCCATGCCGCAGCGCGCTGCTGCTGACTGAGACGGTGATGGATATTGTGAAGTATACATCAAGCGGGGCAGGGCGAGTGAATTCGAGACCGGATTTGGGTGGGTGTGCTAAGAGGTGGACGAGAGAATTGTTCCGGATATGGCAGGAGCGCGAAAGGGGGTGATGGGCGTCTACGATCATTATGACGACAAGCGCGACGAACGCGACTGAGCGCGACTGCAGCAGACCGCCCTGCCCCTCGGTCTCTCCGACGCGCTGAGCGATATGGGACGCACGTTCTGTGCGCACGAGACACACGCAGTGCGCGAGGCGAGTGATATGAACGCGTGGTAGACTGGCGGGAGGGGGAGAAATGAAGGGACTCGGCGGGGATAAGGTGAGGGGGAGGTCGAGGCTTAGGGAGTCGAGGAGGAATGCGGAAGAATGAGCGAGGATCCAATCGAGGACAGAACGTCTCACGGCAGATATCTCAGACAGCGTACCCGCCCTAGGCTGGGGCACGGCATACGCATAGACGCTCGATCGATGTATAAAACGGCCCCTCTCCGACCCAGAGTTATAGACCGCACTCCATTCCCCCTCCGTCTCTTGAATGTGCTTCCCCGGAAAGCGCCTCAAGAACAACCACTCAGACGACGTAAAACCCGCCGATAAGCAAGCTCCCGCCACCAAGCCCGCTCCCGCTCCCGCTGCTTCAGCTCCTACCCTCCCAAACCCCGTAACAGAGACCGCGCCTGCTACCACCATGTCTGCCCCCAGAGTCGCCATCATCATCTACTCCATGTACGGCCACATCGCCAAGTGTCCGTGCATTTCACTCGCTTCATCTCCGCATTGAAGCATATGCTGACTTGCTTGCGCATATAGTGGCCGAGTCCGTCAAGGCCGGTGTCAACGCTGCCGGCGGTCAGGCTACGATCTACCAGATCGCCGAGACCCTCCCTCAGGACATCCTCGACAAGCTCCACGCGCCCCCCAAGCCCGCCTACCCCGTCATTGCCCCCACCGACCTGCCCAACTTTGACGGCTTCATCTTCGGTATTCCCACCCGTTACGGCAACTTCCCCGCACAGTGGAAGGCCTTCTGGGACGCGACCGGCGGCATCTGGGCGTCGGGCGGCCTCTACGGCAAGTACGCGTCGATCTTCGTGTCGACCGCGTCCCCCGGTGGTGGCCAGGAGACGACCGCGCTCAACGCCATCTCGACGCTCGTTCACCACGGCATCAACTTCGTCCCGCTCGGTTACGCCAAGACGTTCGCTCAGCTGACGAACCTCTCTGAGATCCATGGTGGTAAGCATCCCAGCCTTGTGGCCTTGTTATGATGACGGACGCGCGCATATATGCACCCGTCTCGTCCTCTATCTGGCGTCTTGACGTCTGAACATGATGCTGATGCACGAATCTCAGGTTCTCCTTGGGGTGCCGGCACCTTCGCCGCGTCCGACGGCTCTCGCCAGCCCACTCCTCTCGAGCTCGAGGTTGCTGAGATCCAGGGCAAGCACTTCTGGGAAACGATCAGCAAGGTCAAGTTCTAAGCGTGCGGCATTACATACACCGTCGTGCCGTTGTTGTATTCTTGCGTTCCACGGACGGTGACCTAGCCGTAGACGGGAATGTCAGTTGTACAGATATCGACACTAAGTCCGGGTATATTTGGACCATGTTCTTCCTTTGCGACACTATCTCCGGAGCGCGGTATGATTTTGGATGCCAGTGATGATCGAGTTGGCCCGATGCCCCGGAGTCGGGGGTAAGGCTGCGTTTGGTGAGGTCGACCCAGAACGCCACAGGCGAGGAGACGCCTCGGTGCTTATTGCGCCTTCTCGTCTTCGACAAGCGTCATCTTCCAGCGTTCGAATGACGGACCTATCCACTTGGATTCAGCATTTCATGTGGAAATCACCGACGCAGTGTTGTGGGACTTCGGAGAACCAGGGTGCTCGTGCGCACGCAAGGTCGACGCGCAATTGCAACAAGACCTTCTCGAGGCTTCGTCCATCTGGGGCTATCGCCTCGCCATCTCGACATGAGGCGGTCAGGTGAACGTCGCCTACGGGCTTAGTCTAGAGGACGAGGCACCAAGCATTGAATATTGATGGTCGTATGGCGAGTAGACTGGCGTCGAAGCTCGAGGAATAACATGGTCGGCGTCGATGTGTATATCCCGGGAAGCGTGGGTGGCGTCTCGTACGATCCGGGGTCGTCGGTCTCGAGGCGGGCATGCATGTGCCCCGGCAGTCGGCGATGGTGGCGTTTGCACTCGCACTCAATCATTGGTTATCTATGACTTTTACGCGAACGCCGTCACTTTGCTCGTAACACAGACCGGCGTAAACGGAGGAATGGTGTGCATAGAACGTACGCGGTACGGTACGATCTTATGAAGGATGACTCTTCACCCTCTGTGCGTCGATTGCATGTACAAGTAGACTGCGATTTGTTGGTCGTTGGTCACCTGTCTTTTACAGTCTCAGGCCAAGTGAACGTACCTAAATTGCCTTTCACTTAGCGACATCATGTAGACGAAAGGCGGTGATTGCAAGGCAGGCCCGCTGGGTGCTGTTACGCGTTAGGCCAGGCAGTAGGGCTGTTGCTGGCGTGGCCCACCAAAAGCAACACATTAGAGTAACAGGATTGCATTTAGTGCCATAGAGAAACGTGAATCACCATTGAACTCCGTTATCACTGCGGACACAATTACTTCCAAAGTGCACAACCGACGCGACGACGGTTGTGGTCGAGCTAGGTCATTGGGACTCGCGGACGGAGCGCTCTGTACGAGCAATGTAAGTCTGCAGTGTGTCATATCCGCGTTATAAAGAGAAGACCGTGCATATAATATTGAGGGAGCGACGTAAGCGAAGGGCGAGGTTCAACATACTGTCAGTGCATCGCGTTATGGCAGCGACGCGTCTGCTGAGTGCTCAGTATGAGGTCTCGTGACCGTGTGGAATCTACGTCACGGGAATAACGCGTCGCGCGGTCGGGCGTCAACTTCATTGTGGCGTTCTCTGGTATCCCCCTCGCAAGAGCGGTGTGGCGACGACCGACACCCTGTCCGAGCGGGAAGGAACCGGCGGGAATCAATCAAATGAGTCTCAAGATATGTTACTACAATGGTTTTGGAGGGTTCTAGGTGCTGAACGGCCCAGGATGGTGTCGGATCGGCAAGCTATGGCTTAGCCACGGACGGGTCAGCCGCAGGAATTGAACATGAGGTCGCGCGGACGCAACTAACGCTATTCGGAACAACAAAAGACTAGGACAATAAGCTGATGGACAGAACAGTCCCAATCGCAACGCGGCTGACCGGGAAGTTGCGGCGGAGTGCGAACTGCGGTAGGTACAAAAGGATGGGCGCGACCGCCCACCCTGCAACTGCTCCTTGTCCTCGTCCCACCACCACCCCCACCTTAGCCACCCTGCTCGATGCTCGTCCACTCCTTCCCGCACCCATGCAACGCAAACCTACCCCTTCGTCACCGCTAGCAACGCCTCGCCACAACGACGAGTGTCGCATCACCGCTCAGAGACGACTTCAAGTTCCACTTCTGAGCCGCCCTCGATTCGCCAGTCGCAGTGGTTGAGGTAAGCTCCTACAGATCCTTGATCGCCGAGGATGTCTACACACCTTGTGGACTAGTGATACATTGTCGCCACCGCCTATGCTCGCCCGCCACACCGCAAACGCCACCCCTTCTCCGGCGGCTGCGTCAGGCAAGCACGGTATCTAGTCATCGATGAATGTCCTCAAGGTGGCGTGAGCGGTGCCATCGAAAACAAGGCTCGGCCACTGTGGCGGATGCTGCACATAAATACACAAGGCAGCACCGGCCACAGTTGGTCGACACAAGCACATAGCAAGATCACACCGGCCGGTTACAGTACGCGCCAAGGACACCCACCCTCAAACATCGCCTACTACTTGTGGTCGCGAGATGAGATGACCGTCAGCAGGCTTCGGCCGTCGTACCGTCAAAATCCATCTCGAGGTCGCGTGTAGGGTGGCCATCCGAGAACGTTATGAGAAGCAATCGATGTCCGCAAATGGCCACCTCTTAGCGGATAAATGGCCACAATACGGCATTCCAACCGCTCGAGATTGTCGAGCGAGTCGAGGTGACCGTCAGCAGGCTCTGCCTCCGTACTGTCAACACCTCGTCTCGCCGACGTCGAAGACTCGGAGTGCGCATGGGAAGCCAAC